TATATGTAATGATGATAGATACATTGATGGTGTAGTCAGTCAAATTGCTTGACCTTATCTCTAGATCTTTTGACCCTTCCTTTTTTGTATCAATTAAAACACTTGTTGGACATTGCAACTTATATATATATGTGTATTTATTTTAAGTTCTTTTGTTTTCTGATATTAGTTTTCACAAATCAAAGGTTGTTTGTGGTTAAAAAATAACACACTATGCGAATAAACCAAATAAAAAACATTCTCGTATGTATGGTATGCTTGGCAATCATTTTTCTCGTTTGGAGGGTGAATATTTTTATCAATGATTTAACCTATCTTGCACAACAAAGTGGCGAAAGAGTATTAGGTATTATTGAAAAGGGTGTAGATGAATTAGAATTGATAAGACGTAGCTCAGAGCAATTTATGGGTGAAGCAGAAAAGGCAGCGGAGAATATAAAAGAGCGTATGAGAACACCTATCATTAGTGGGCCATGGTCTCGTGGTTGTTCTTCTTTGTATGGATGTCATAAGGGGTATTGTTGGGCTGGGTGTGCAGGAATATTTGGATCTGTTGAAGGCTTTGAATGGTGTTATACCAAAAATACAAGTGATGGTGATTATGTGAAATGTAGTTCTGATAAGGATTGTGATGGCTGTTGGAGGTGCAAAAGTAATTGTGCAATATCAAACTTCTATTCATAACCTCTTTGATTCCATACCTTTACCCATACTTTTCGAAAGGTATATTTTTTATTCATCGGCATTCACTCCTGATGATTAGTCAAGCAATCGCCACATAACACCTTCTCTTTTACCAGTTAGAACTCCTGTTCGTTGCCTTGCTAATTATTTCCTCATAAGTGCTATATCCGACGACTGGTTTTAATAATAACTGGAATAACAATAATTCTTTTTATTCACTTAGTTCATTAGCAGTTGACAAGATTTTTCTGTTTACAACTCTAACAATAATAACTTTAATAAAAATGATGTTTTTCCTATTACTTTCTCTTAAAAGTTCCTCATATTTAATGCATCTTATTTTTCTAGAACATTTTTTAAATAAATAATTAGATTGATTTGCAAATAATGCAAGTTTTTTTTTTTTGAATTTTGTTATAAAGGCAAGCCAAAGTAATACAATCAACTCTCTTTATAACGAACTGACGGTTCTTAGAGTAAAAAATTTTAAAAGTTCCTTATAGAGTAAATTACTATGTTTCTATACCGAACTCTATAATAAATTTTTTTTAAAAAGGTTCATTATAGAGTAAGTTCGTTATAAAAAGGTTCGTTTTTTCCCGAGTTGACTGTATATAATCAAACCTCTCCAAATGCACCGGAAGTATGTATTTAGAGAAAATGTGCAATTATAGAAAATTCAACTTTTAAAGGCAAGAAAAATATACGTATGGTTAACTCAAACCTCTTTAAGCACATGCTTTTAGAATTAAAAATTGCTTTTAAAAAACCAAATTCTGTAATTATTTGCCAAATACAACTCGATATAGTGATATCGATATAATAAAGAATTTTGAATTACAGAATTATTAAAATTTAACTCGATATAATGAAGCACATACAGTGCGGGACAGTGTAAACTAGTGATGCACTGACAAAACCTGATAAAATATAAACTAGCTACATGATAGTTTTTATATTTTTAACACTTCGATTAAACCGTAAAAGCTATCAAAATATAAACTGATAAAACTCCTGATAAAACTTTATAAGCTTGCGATCTCAAAAGATATACCACATCCAACCCAAGCTTTTAATACAGTACGATCGAGTGAATTTTGATGATTTATAGAATGTGATTCTGAATTATTTGTATTAACAAAATCGATTGATTTGCGACGTTTTGTATTTGAAATTCTTTGATAATTATTATGTCAATTTTCAATTTTATTTTGCCAATATTTTTGCACATCTTGTGGACAACTGGAATATTCATTAGCTAAATGTGATTCCATTTATACACGGGGTCTAAATTGCTT